TGATTTGCTGCTCGAGAATGACTTCTTATTATCATTATAGAAAACAGTTGTACGTGGTACATTGCCATTGAAACGTTTTGTGTAAGTGAAATTAAAAAATAAAAAAAATAATACTTTCAGCAGGAATGCATTATACTCAAACATGACAGTAAATTCATTTAACAAAATATTTTTATTTGAAATAAATGCTGTTCATTGAACTTTCTATTCATTCAAATATGAAGCAGCATAACTGTTTTCAACATTGATAATACTCAGAAATGTTTCTTAAGCAGCAAATCAGCATATTAGAATGATTTCTGAAGGATCATGTGACGCTGAAGACTGGAGTAATGATGCTGAAAAATCAGCTTTACAATCACAGGAATAAATTACATTTTCAAATATCTCAAATAGAAAACGGCTATTTTAAAAAAGTAAAAATATTTCACAATATTACTGTTTTACTGTATTTTAGTCAAATAAATGCAGAGTGCATAAGAGCCTTCTTTCAAAAACATTTTAAAAAAAAAATTAAATGGTAAAGTAATTATAAAAATGTACTGAAAGCGCTTTACTAAAGATGGCGGGGTGATGGCTTATTGTCCTTTACATTTGCGTGGTAAGGGTAAAGACAGCTCCAGCAGCCTGGGGGATGCGGTGGCGGCCCGAGTGGAAGGACTGACCTGGTAGGAGTCGTACCCCTCAAACAGGGCCTGACGGGTCTTGGGTTGAGCCAGTTTCTGCAGTTTCTCGCTGGCTACGGCCTTCAGAACATGATCTGGAACCGGCCAAGAAACTGGCCTTGCGAGAGCGTGCTGTGCATGGACTTGCTTAGGAGCTGAGTGCGGAAAATAATGACAGAAGAGAGAATTACAATTCAAACCCAACTGAACCTGTGTCAATAATCCATAGTGCATAGGTTACTTTCTGAGCAGTTGCAGACTGTATATGCAGTAGATGATAATTTACAGTATACAAAGAGCAGTGATATGCACTCACAGGCCAGCTGTAGTACGCGTGAAGAGGGTGTGATGCAAACGCTGATCACATGGGCGCTTGAATCAACACTGCAGTGTGTCAACTGTGTCTTCACCCGCTTTGGTTGTGCCAGCTGACATATTCTTGGACTAGGCTTGGCATTTTTAACTACAACACTTAAAGGGATAGTTCACCCAAAAATGAAAATTCTGTCATTAATTCTTCACCCTCATGTCGTTTCAAACCCGTAAGACCTTCGATCATCTTCAGAACACAAATTAAGATGCTTTGGATGGCCCAGAGGCAGCCTTACAATATCTCACTATTTATAGCTTTATTATTATTATTATTGTTGTTGTTGGTGCCGTTATTATTACTACTACTACCATTATTATTATTCTTATTACTATATGTCTTCTTCCTGATCCTCCAACCTCCCCCCGGTTCCTGATGAATGAGTTTATTGTTAATATTGTTATTATTGCTACTATTACTAATTACTAATTAATACTATTATTTTGCTATTTGTCATCTTCCACATCCTCCAACTTTCCCCTCATTTCTGATAAATTGAGTTCATTATTATTATTATTATTGTTATTATTTAATAAATGTATTTATATTTATTTTTTATTAATATATGTATATATTTATTATTATTATTGCTATTACTATTATTACTTATCACCTTCCTCA